GAACGGAGCAGCAAGAAGCAGAGGGTAGTTAAGAAGCAGACTGTGGGGACCAGCTCATGTCCCCGGAAGCACTGTAGGCCCTGTCCCGTTCCAGTCCGTCCAGGGAGGATTCTGGACAGCCTCTCCCTTTTCCTGGTAATCACCTCCTCAGGGACACGTCAGCTCCTGATGTCAGTAAGACCCATGCTACTTAAGGGATCTCCTCTGCCAGATTTTATCCAATTTGCTAGGTCTTAAAATTTTGATTTACGGGCCAGCAGGTGGCATGGTGCTTATGGCACTGGATCCCACATGGCTGATTCTGCAGTTCGAGTCCTGGACCTGGTGGTCTGAAAAATATGCCAGTTTTGTGTGTGTGTGTGTGTGTGTGTGTGTGTGTGTGTGTGTGTGTATATGTATGTGTGTGTGTGCGTGTATATGTATGTGTGTGTGCACTTCAACTTCTGAGAGGAGACTGGCAGAGAAAGGATTGTGGCATGGGGTGTTTTTCTATTCTAGTCTTCATTCCTCCAGAATGTTCCTTTAATTCTTTGCAAAGAGTTGGACAAGTTGTATTCAGCCAACTGTGCACCTGAGAACTGTGGAAAGCCGCAGGTGACAGCCGCCCGCCTGTGCCCACCTGCAGCCCACGTGGCCCCATTCAGGTGTCAGTCAAGGTTTACTTGGCTGCGTCAGACACTCCCCCAGGGCTCTGCATGGGTGGTTGTGACAGCACCGTGTTGCCCGGCCTGGCCGTGTCAGAGTGTGAGCCATCGAACCTCCAGCCCATTCCTGAAAGGAGCAAGAGCTTTGTCTGCCCTTGATAAAGTCCCATCACACCACCCAAATTGCTTATTGAATGGGATCACCACATTATAGTTTTTAAAAATAAAAAGGATTGGGGGTCCAGCTCAGTAGCCTAGGAGTTAAGATCTCACATGCCAACCATTGTTCAAATCTCGGCCCCGGTGACTTGGAAATTATACCGGGCACTTGCGCATGTGTGCCCAGAGTTCCAGATGAGGACAAGAGATTGCAGTGTGGCCACGCCCCCTGGGGGATGCTTTCTCTCTTTGTCTCTGTGTGTGTCTCTCTCTGGTGAGTTCATGTACCTTTCGGGTATTAAATATATAGATATATGAACAGAACAACTTTTTAACCCCCTTCTGTGTGTTTATGGGGAAAGCAATGACTGCAAATGTCGACTCGTTCCCCTCTTCTCCTCTCCATATGGCTATTAGCTTTTTCACTGAGCTTATTGGGCAATATATTTTTAAGTCTTCTTTATGGAAAGTTCCAAACATAGACAAAAGTAGAGAGATGTGTCTGCCACCAGCTGCAGTCGTCACCAGCTAGCTCACGGGCATTCCTTGTTGAGCTGTGTCCCTACTGCCATGGTATTTATGGGCTGTATGGAGATAGAACTTAATATCGTAAAGAGCCTGTGTGCTCACTGGTAAGAAACAGAGAGAAGGAAAATGAGAACTCGCCTGCCAGGGGGGTGGCAACAACACAGTCCCTTCTCCATTCTCTTCCCTTCTCCTCCATTCTCTTCTCGGGATTTTAAGCAAGCATACACATGTGCCCCGTCTGGGATTTGAACCACAGTTGGTCATGTGGGAATCCAGCACCTTAGCCATCATGCCTCCTGCTGGCCCCTGAGGTTTCTTTTTCTTTCTTGATTTTTTTAGAATTATTTAATTCCATTTGCTATTATTTTTTTAATTTGACCAGAGAAAGATAGAGAGGGAGAGAGAAAAGGAAAGCAAGAAAGCAAGCCCCCAGTTCTGGGGCTCGAAACGCTGTTGGCCACGTGAGAATCCAGCACCCTTAACTACCATGCTACCTGCTGGCCCCAGGGTTTCAAAGACAGAGACAGACAGAAAGTGAGAAATCACCTCCCAGGGAGGATGGCCACGCCGCAATCCCTTCTCCTCCATTCTCTCAGGATCTTGGGCATACTCACACGTGCCCAGCATGAGTTTAAGCCATCGAGTCCAGGACTCGAACCACAGTCAACTACACAGGAGTCCAGCAACGTATTGTCACCTGCAGGTCCCAGCGAGCGTGTATTTTAAAAGTATGCACTACATGAAACTGTAGCCAGTTGTGCAGAAATCAGCAGCAGCAGTTCCTCCATTGGGGCCTGCCGGGGGACATTGGGTTTGTTTCCTGCCCTTCATCCCGGGCCGTCCTGAGCCGGTGTTTCCCCGATGTCTCTGCGTGTCTCAGGTCACACTGCTGATCGCCTTCATCTGCGTGCGGAGCAGCTCCGTGTGGACTGACTACAGCGCCTACAGCTACTTCGAAGTGGTGACCCTCTGCGACCTGATAATGATCCTCGCCTTCTACCTGGTCCACCTCTTCCGCATCCACCGCGTCCTCACCTGCATCAGCTGGCCCCTGTCGGTAAGCGTGGCCCAGCCGGAATGCAGAGGCCAGGGGATTCGCTGTGCTCTGAGACCAGGCGGGTCCTTCCTCTCTGCTCACCCCGCCTCTAACCATCCTGTGCTGCGTCAGCCCTGCATTCCAACCTGGTGGACTTCGCTGCCGTCTTGCTGGTTTCTAAAACTCACCTTCCAGCTCCAAGAAGGCCGTGGCTCCCGCCTCCATGTTTATTTTCTCAGGCGACAGAGAAGGGGCTGTGCGTGTGTGAGCTGGGAGGAGGAACAGGGAAGAAAGGAGCTGATAAGGGTGACGGTGTCGCAGCGGTGTGAGGGTGCAGCTAGCACGGGCTGGCAGGGGCTAAGGAGACGGTTCAGAAGTTGCCACAGAAAGCGAGAAATCACCCCCCAGGGGAGGATGGCCACGCTGCAATCCCTTCTCCTCCATTCTCCTCTCTTGGGATCTTGGGTACACACGCACACGCACCTGGCATGAGTTTAAGCCACCCGGTCTGAGACTCAAACCGCGGTCGACTACATGGGAGTCCAGCGACGTAGCCATTATGCCACCTGCTGGTCCCAGCTCCTTTTTCAGTTCTAATAGATTTTCTACTGGGTTCCCTAGGGTCTTCCATATGCAAGATCATGTCATCTGCGTTTTACATCTCCCTTTCTAAATGCCTTTTATGTCATTGTCTTGCCTCATTACAAGAAATTAGTTGAATAAATCAGTTGAATGTTGAATAGAAATGCAAGAGCAGACATCATTGTCTTTTTCTGATCTTAGGAGGGAAGCATCCTCTTTCATCATTACATGTGATATTAGGTATAAATTTTGTACAGAGGCCCTTTAGCAGATTGAGGAAGTTTCTTCTAATTGAGTGTCTCTTTGTTACGTATTTTTAACCATGACCTTTCACTAGATTTTGTCAAACGCTTTTTCTGTGTCTACTGAGATAATCATTCTATTAATCTGCTGTGTTACATTGCGTTAGGTTGTTTTTTGTTTTTGTTCTTGTTTTTTTTGAGAAAGAGGTTTTTGCTACAGGGTGTATGTGCTCACTGAAGAGACAGAGAGACAGAAAGTGAGAAACCACCCCCCTTAGGGAGGGGTGGCCATGCTGCAATCCCTTCTCCTCCATTCTCCTCACGGGATTTTGGGTACGCACACACACGCGCCTGGCGTGAGTTTCAAGCCTCTGGGTCTAGGACTCAAACCGCCGTCAGCCATGTGGGAGTCCAGTGACATGACCATTATACCATCTGCTGGTCCCGATTTGGGGATTTGGGAGATTTTTTTTTTTTAAAGAATTATTTATTTTATTTTATTTATTTATTCATTTATTTTGAACACAGAGAGAGAGGTCGTCTCCCTCTGGGCACTGCCTTTTGTTGTATCCAGTAATTTTGGTGTATTGTATCTTCATTTTCATTCATCTCTACCTGTTATCTAATTTTCCTTGTGATTTCTTCTTTGATCCATTAGTTACTGAGGAATATTTTGTTCCATTTGCGTGTATTCATGAGTTCCCCACTTTCCTTCTGCTGTTGGTTTCATTCCAGTCCGAGACCCGGTACCTTGTATTCTTTTTACGCTTACTGAAGTTTGTTTATGGTCTAGCATATGGTCTATCCTAGGAAACGTTCCATGTGCATTTGAGAAGAATGCATAATTCTACAGATGTTCTTTTAGGTGTATGTAGTTGGTTCATATTGTCATTCGAGTCTTTTGTTTCTTTGATCTGCGTAGTTGTTGTATATGTCATTTGAAAGTAGGGAGGGGCCAGCAGGTGCCATGGTGGTTAAGGCACTGCACTCCCACATGGCCAACCACAGTTCCAGTCCCAGACCTGGTGGCTTGAAACACACTGGGTGTTTGTGTGTATGTGCCCAAAATCCAGAGAAGAGAATGGAGGAAAAGGGACTGCAGCATGGCCACTCCCCCCTGGGTAGAGGTGATCTCTCTCTCTCTCTCTCTCTCTCCCTCCCTCCTTCCCTCCCTCCCTCCCTCTCATTGGTGAACACATGCACCCTACAGCAAAAATCTCTCTTTAAAAAAAAAGGAAGAAAGTAGGGTATTGTAGTCTCCAACTATTATTTTGAATTGTCTGTTTTTCTCTTGATTTGTCTCATTTTTTGCTTTATGTATTTGGCACTCTTATTACTCGCATACTTGTTTCTAACTGCAATGTCTTTCCTGATAAGCTCACATTTTCATTATTATAAAATGTCCCTCTTTATCTCTAGTTAACTTTTTTCTTTTTGCATTAAATGCCATTTTGTCTGGGGCTGGCATAGGTGCTCCAGCTTTCTTGTGGCTGTTTCCATGATATATCTTTGCCTTTCAATATAAATTGCACCTCCTGGAGAGAGCCCATAATTATATCTTGAGTTAGTTTGTTTTTGAAATAATTATTTTTTTATTTAACTTTATTTATTTATTTATTTATTTATGTTTGATCGGAGAGGGACAGAGAGAGAGAGAAAGTGAGAAAGCAAACTGCCAGGTCCAGGACTCGAACCACATTTGGCCATGTGGGAATCCAGCATCCTCACCCACCATGCCACCTGCCAGCCCCATATGTATCTTGTTTTTTAAATCCAACCTGACAGCCTCTGCCTTTTGATTGGGTTGTTTAATTGTTCACATTTAATGTTATTACCCATTATGTTACTTTGTGAAAAATTCCTTTTGTGTCCCTAAGTGCCGAGTCCCCTTTCCAAGTTATGGCACCTTCCTGCTACTTTTAAGAACAAGCGTCTCTAGTCTCCCTGATCCTGGTCCTGAATAAGCAAACGGTGTAGGAGCCCGGGGAGGAGGATGGGTGGACTGGGGGAGGTGCAGGCCAGGACAGGCGTGGCCTCACGTTTCTGGCTTAGTATGGTTTAGGTACCTCCTGGTGGGATTCTTTTTTCTTTTTTTAAATTTTATGCAATCGATTGCTATACATCATGTGCCTTGTAAAGAGAGTTTACCCAACATGAAAGCCACCCCAGACCAGTCCAGTTGACAACACTATGCCTGTTATCAACAGGTAATAACCATGACTGTGTCCCGCAAATGTCTTCTCCACTATTTCTCCCTAATCCCCTCCCCTCCCCTCTCCCCTCTTCTTCTGGTGAGATTCTCTCGTCAGTTTTCACTGTCCGATATCGTCCTCATCTGTCTTTATCTGAGAATCTTCAAGGTGGAAGCTTCCACTTTGGGATGCGCTCTTCAACCCACATCTCTGTGGTCTCCCTGTGGTGTTCCTTCCTAGTCGCTAAGGGAGAGGGCAGGGCCTGTGATTTCGTGTAGCTTTGAGAGGAGCCGTGCCTTAGAAGCAGAATGCTTATTTAGAATTGGCACCAGCAGTTAGCGTAATGGCTATGTTGGTGGACTCCCATGTAGTCCACTGCGGTTCACATCCTGGACCCAGTGGCTTAAAAATCACACCGGGCGCTTGTGTGTGCATGCCCAAGATCCTGAGAGGAGAATGGAGGAGAAGGGATTGCAGCATGGCCATCCCCCCTGGGGGGTGATTTCTCGCTTTCTGTCTCTCTGTCTCTCTCCGTCTTTCTGGCGAGGGCATCCACCCTATAACAAAAGAACCTCTCCAAAAAATAAAAAAAGCACAATGCTTATTTAGGATCTAATAGCTGCCTGCCCTGGTGGGACAGAACGTGGAAAGGACTCATTCCTAAATTCTCATTGAATACAGCAGAAAATGGGTGCGCTCTGGATTCCGAGGGCCGCTGCACACGGCCCTGGACCCGCTCTCCTCGGCGGAGCTGGTTAACGCGCACAGGAAGGCCGGGGCTCCTGGTCCAGGGCGAGAAGCAGAGTGGCAGCGCTGCGGGTCGCGGGTTGGCAGAGCTGGCCAGAGGCACACGCCGGAGAGAGGGCGGGGGGTCGGCACAGTGAAGGCAGCCAGGAGGACGGCGGCGCAGGAGGACGGGGGCGC